GATGAATAATACTCCATTCTATTAAAAAAAACATGTCTTCTTTATCGATTGGCTGATGGGTATTTGGGCTGTTTCCAAGATTTAGCTATTACAAACTGTGCTGCTATGAACATGGGTGCGCATACATGCTTTTAATTCTTTTGGAAATCTTATTCCTTGCTTTCTCAAGATTCCTGTGTTCTTGATGTAGCTAATTTGGGCTAGAAAACTCTGCCACTATAATAGAAGTCCCTAGCACTAAACTGCGAGGACAGAACTACTAGCAATATCAATATCTGAAGAACCAATTATGTATTGATATATCATGTAGAGCTTGTTCAGCAAGTTTTCTACTCTTTCAATAATCCAGGAATACAAAGGACTAATAATGGTATAGGGAGGGCTGGGACATAGGAAAAGATGAAAAACGGATTTAAAAATAATTAAAACAAGAGTGACTGAAAAAAATGGAAGACTAAGAAGAAATAAAAAGCAGTCAAAAGAAAGTGGTTTTTGATATTATTTTTATACCCGTAAACAAGAGAGAAAGGGTTTGAGAGGAGATGAGTGGGGTACAGGGGGGGCTTTAAAACCAGAAGGCAGCAACGCCATGGAGACGACGTCGGTTTATGAAGTAGCAGAGAGGCTACGTTAGGGAGACCTCACCTGTGGCCTCTGCTGAGGGAGGAGAGGGCTGAGCAAGCTAGGACACTGCTTTTTAAAGTTCTACAACAAAGGATCCGTTTTTCCTCAAAAAAAAAAAAATTTTTTTTTACACTTCTCCTCCTCCTCACTTACCTGTAGAAGGCAGGTTCCGAGGCCCTGCACATGCCTAACTAGAGGGCTGGAGCACAGCTGAGAGCTGATCTGATGAGCCAGTCTGCTGTTGAGTGGCCAGTGGGCAGGCAGCACAGGCCGCACTGACACCTGGGACGAGGGGCGACTTACCCCGGCCTGGGCACACGCAGGGTCAGCTCAGGCGGTCAGGACAGCGTGCAGTGGGAGCCAACAAGCGCCCTCCTTCTAGACTTCCCACTTCATAGTTTCAGGCTACAGCTGACAAGGAACTGAAACTGGGTGTGGACCAATATGTGTGTGAGCTATAGCCAACAAATATTACTGGAAAAATGAAATAGCGCAGAATGGCTGAGTGTGGAAATGGCCGGACCCAGCACACGTGGTTCTAACAGTGCTTCCGTGAACACACCATTTATACGAAAGCTGTTCACAATCGAGCATGTTTTCATTGGAAATCTGCTTCGCAGATGCACTGGGATGTTACTGAGTACATCTGACACCCTCAGATAGCTCACAGCAAATTAAGTCAAATAATCAGTGCGACTCGAGTACACGCTGCACACTGTTTAGAGAAGTGTGACGCACACGGCCTTTCGGCAGCATCGGAGGATTAAACAGTCCCTGATTATTTTGCTTGCTGTTTTGCCTTTTGTCTCTATACCCAAATGCATATCAGGAATGGACTTGAAGGGTAAGTCAAAAGCCTAATAAACACTTGAAAATGAATGCCAGGCAATGTTAAAGGGCTTTCTCTTTCTCCAAAGGACACCTAAAAAATCTTAATTTGCCCTTACTTTAATGTAGAGGTTATTTTTGGTGCCTGGGATTGAACTTGGCACCTTGCATTTGCCAGGCAGGTGGCGGCACCACTGAGCTAAATCCCTGGCCCTATGTAGAGGATTCTTAAAGTGTAATGTACACTTCTATATAGCTTAGAATTCTTTACATATATTTCATATTTAAATATCTATTACCTTTTTACAATTAAGTATTTAATGAAGTACTTGCATTTCAAGGTAAAGTGAGGAAAGTATTTCATCCTGTCACACAGAGCATTTCCTACTTAGTCCCACATCCTCCACAAAGCCAGGGCTCATTGCTTGCTCACACAGGAGGTAGGTGCACCCTCTGCAGCCACCCTGCTGACAGCAGGGGCACTGTCAGGCAAAACACCCACCCTCCTCAGTACCTGCATCGGCCCAACTAAGAACGACTCTTTCCAAGGAGGCCAGGATGTCTGCAGACTGTCTTCTGTACCAGAACTATTCTGAAATCTCTGTGAAGGTACTAAATGACGTTTTCACCGATAAACTGAAACTTGCCTGGCGGATTATAAACAAAGAACTAATATTTGGTTTTTACCGGGGCTTTTCTCAAACTGTTCGCATCACAGCATGATGCCATTTATGTGGAGATAAAATGGAAACATAGAATATTGAGTCTATAAAGCTGTAAGAGACAGCATGGGAGGGATCAGCTGAAGATGCCACACCTGAGGGTGAAGCAGAGCGAACTCTGTGTGGCCGCACGGGCTGTGACTAAGAAAGGGAGAGAGGGGGCGCGGTGCTGGGAATGCTCCATTCTTGACCCAAATACATAGGTTATTAGTTTGTCACAATCAGGAGCCTGAGCATCTATGTTTTATAAACACAGAATCAAAATAGTAAAAGCCCTAGCAGAAGAACTATCTCAGTAGGCAGAGAAAATATCTTAAAGATACAAACTGTCTAATAAGACATATGTAGAAATATGTACTTAAAAACAGTTCTAAATCAAGGGTTCGTGGAAAATGTTTCATGTGGAGTTTCTTTTTTCTTTTTGGTACCTTGGCTCGAACTCGGGACCTTGCACTTGTGAGGCAGGTGGTGGAGCCACTGAGCTAAACCCCTGGCCCTCAGGTACAGTTTCTTTTCTTCTTCTTTTTTTTTTTTTTTTGTATGGGGGATCAAACTCAGACTGGAACCACTAAGCTAAATCCCCAGCCCTGGAGTTTCTTAATGTATAATTTCCAGCTTTTATTATATTGCCAAAAAAGTAAACAATCGATGTAGAAATATCATTCAGGTATTAATATGGGTCCAGCTATTTTAAAAGTTTCAAAATTACTCAAACATCACAAAATAAAATATATCTGTTTCTGGTTAAGAAAATCATTATCTTTAGTAATAAAATTAAAAATCCAGAAGCCAGGCATGGTGGTTCATGCCTGTAATCCCAGCACCTGGGAGACTGAGGCAGGAGAATTTTAAGTTTGAAGCCAGCTTAGGCCACGTAGGAACAATTTTACTACCATGTTTTCACCCAAAAGAAAGAAAAACATATCCCCACAGAAACAGCTATACACAAATATTCAGAATAGCTCAGTTCAGAATACCCCACAACAGAAATAGCTCACACTGTACGATACCCGCTATGCTACATAAGCAGTGAAACAAACCCCCTGCACATGCAATAACACAGACGAATCTCAAAAATAAATCGGCATAGCCCTACAATAAAACACACTGACGCATGGTACAGCACTGATGAAACTCAAAATAATTACTCATTGAAAGAAACCAGGTAACAAAAGAGGAGTTCAGACTGCATGAATCTAGTGTAACAGTGCACATTCATCAAATTCCCTTGCACTGCACGATTACAGTGGGCACACCTAACTGTACGGAATGTGTCACCTCCCTGGAATTAATGTCCAAAAACTGTCAAAACGTTGCCCCACACATGGTGTGGAAATGACTAGGGCACCGCGTGCCGGAGCAGAATGGTGGCGCTGCAGGCTGCCTGAGGCCCGGGTGCAGCTCAGCAGGGCAGCCCAAGAGGGCCCCACGTCCAGTGCCCAGCACCACAGAGGGAGGGTGGACTCGGAGGCTCCGCTCAGTGTGCGCTCACTTAGCCGAGATCCAGTGTGCAATGCGTGGGAAAAAAAGGAGTGAGACTAAGAGACTAAGGCCAGCGCTAGGGTTTAAACCTCCCAAATGAAGAGTTTAAAAGATGGAAAAAAGAACCAAAAAACACACACAAGAACTAAGACATGTTACGTACATATACCAACTCCCCACAATGAATGTAATCATTACATACTGCAAACATGCACTACTAAAAATACAAGTTTTTTAAAGTTTGTAAGTTAAAAGAAAACAACAAAGTGTGCGAGAATGCTACTCTCTTGGCATTTCTGTACAACCGCACACAGTAGGGCAATTTTAAGACTGGAAGTAGCATTAGCAAGTCGATATTGACATTATTTCAGGTTAAGCACTGCGCTAATTCATGATGTATGTATTCATGGTATCATTTAAACTTATCTATAAATACTTCAGGGAAATAGTTCTTTTATAGATAAACTGAGACAAAGAGATAAGACAGTCACTGGTTCAAAGTCGAAGGTGACACTGAGCTGGAATCTAAGTCTATCTGACGCCAGTGTTCCGCTGTGCACTTTTTGCTGTTTTCCCTCAAATGCACTGCACACAGCAGCCGCTGCATCACAAGAAGGCTGCACTGCACCAGCCTATGCACAGACTGCGTTGGTTTCTCTTAGCTGCGCTTATGGTGCTGGGAAATGCTAATGACAAAGCATAAAAAGCGTCAGATTTTATAAAATATCGTTCTTGTGTGGTATAGCTTTCAAATACTGAAAATAATTCTAGAGACTGAAGAGCTATTGGTCCCAAAGAACTTCTCTAACTTTATTTCCTAGTCTGCTCTAAGCCTATGATGTTGCTATGAGTCACACAGGGGAAAGACATGAAAGGACCTCAGGAAACCTCTTCTCTTCGTAAAAGGCCAAGTACAGCAGTTTCTTTCTATTTTATGAGCTGTGTACCCTTTTGTATAATTCTGTATTTTATTTTATTTTTTTGGTTCAGGGATTGAACTTGGAACCTTGAGCTTGTGAGACAGGCAGCAGAACCACTGGGCTAAATCCCCAGCCCTGTAATTCTGTATTTTAAGTTTCATATATTTCCTTAGCTTTCGTCTCCAAAGGTTTTGCTAATGTGGATTTGAGTTGCTCAAGATCACTATGTTCTGAAAAATTTTTAAATGGATGGTAACTACCATAGTAATTATTCTAAAGTCAAATTATCTAATTTAATGACTGACCTAAAGAAAATACTAATTGATTATTCTGCTTAAGAATATATAAAGTAGCAAAATTCTAGCCAAAAAGAAATCAAGCATATGCCAATATATTTATGCAAGAAATCATGTAACATCATCACCTGAAATCACAAGCCGTGGTGAATTCTGCTCCTCCGCCCAGTGCTCGGCCTTGAACCAGTGCTACACTTATTAGAGGAAGTCTGTGCACCAAAGGAGAAACGATGTTAATATTTCTAATTTCAGTATTAATTTACAAGTGCTATTTAAAAAATCTTGAAGTACAGTGGAAACAAAGCACTGCACCGTGTTTATAATAAACATGGATCAAAGAAGAGTGGAAACTTAAGCCTGTGCTGTAGCAGAAGAAAAACAGTACAGTACTAGAAATACAATAATTCATATTCAATGCCATGTAAGTGTATTTGTTTTTTTGTACCAGAAATTGAACCCAGGGCCTTCTCACTGAGCTATGTCCTAATCCCTTTTTTTATTTTTTATTTTGAGACAAGAGTCTTGCCATGTCACTAAGTTGTCCAGGCTGGGCTTGAGCTTGCAGTCCTCCTGCCTCAACCTCACATACTGCGTGAGTTACAGGTGTTCCCACCACACCCAGCCGTTTTTAAACTGAAAACATATCAAAACTTTCTTCCAAAGACGGATGCTTTTGTACAACATAACTGCTGGAGCTTCCCAGCAGGTAGTGTGACTCTGTATAGGTGTTTTTATCAACCTAAGGCTGAGGCTAGGAAATGGAAGGTTATATCTAAAGAAGATGTGGCCCTGAAGAAAGAATTCCAAAGCTATGTACTGAAGGGTCCCCCTGAAAGTCAGCACATTACTGGTTGAAATGATCCAGAGTAATCCCATGGACCGGTATTATTTTAAAAATAAATTCTTAACTTTTATTTGTAAAGACTCAACTTGTGGGTGTATGAAAATATTACAAAGTAAATCTACAATGTTTTAAAAGTAAGAAGGTTTCTGTAGGTTCTAATCCAAACATAAAGCTGCAGGTCTATAATAACTGAATTTTTAATACACATGACTCCCAAGTAGAACGGATTATCTTAAAAAATAACCTGGAGTCCTCCTGCCCAGCCCCTGAGGAGCTGGGACTGCAGACACGCACTTAATAATAAGAGGGCTGAGGACGGAGCTCAGTGGAACAGCATCTCTAGATTCAATGTCTAGTACCACACACAAAAAGCAGAAGAGCTCTTCAGATGTATCCAGGAAAAGTGAGGCATAGAGGAGGCAAATGAACAGGCACTAAAACAAGAAAAGCAGTATTTTGCAATGACATGCCAAGTAGGCTTAAATCTGAATTCCCTTAGTTGTTCTCACTTTAAATGTCTACATTGAGAATAACAAAGTGAACTAATTCACCAGAACACGTAGCAGTTTGTAACCCAGGAATTGCAAAGACAAAAAACCCTCCCTTTGTCTTCTCATGTAGACGCAGTGTAAACGCATCTTCTCAGAGGGCTGGGGGAGCTGGAGCCTCTGACGGCGCCCACCTGCTCCTCACCAGTCACAGGGGCTCCTTGGGGAAGTTCTTTTCCTCCCTCCCTCCCTTCTGTTGTTTATAACATACTTGTGTATGCTTCGCCGCGATTCGATGAAATGACTGTTCTCTATGGCATCAGCCTGCATGTACCTTAGCCCATATAATTAGACCGCCTATGATTTAAAGATCAGCTAGGACAGGCGCTGGAGTGACGGGGCTATGTTTAGGAATCGTACCATTGTAAAAGATACCTTACCTCGTGAGTCTTGTGAGGGTATTCTGCATGAACATACACAGGGCCATCCCATCCTTCAAATAAACAAAGATACAATGCACACGTATTAAGTAACAGATAATTTTTAAAGTTGAGATTTTAGACAAAGATGCACCTACCTATTTTTGAGTCTGGCTGACGCCTCTCGGCTGCTGCGTGAAGTACACACGCGAGGCCGACGCTGCCGGGACGCCCTGAGGCATCCGTGTGGACGGGTTGGAGGCTCAGTCTGGGCCCCTAGACCACGGAGGGCAGGGAGGCAGAGCGGAGGGGCTGTTCCTCCCTCTATCTCTGCATCTCTACAAATCAGCGCGTTTCTCCTTAAAAGTGGTCCAAAGCACTGCCTTCTCTTTTCCAACTCACACTTTCTAAAACCCATGTTCTCTAGCCTTCAGCCTTCTTCAGAAAGATTTTCCTCAAAATGTTCTAGTAATCTCTAAGTTTTCAAATTTAACGATTCCTCCTTTTCCCCATCTTGCACTCTCACGGGCAGCGCCTTTCTTTGACCAGCTTTTCTGTCTTTCTTCCCTGATTGTTCTGTTCCAGCGCTCTTCCTCGGCCTCTCTCCTTCAGCAAATCCGCACGGCCTGTACTCGCCAGTCCGTCCACCGTCCGCTTCCCTCCCTCGGGTACAAGTTCTGCCCTGGAAGCGCCGTCTACCGCCCGCCTCGGGGTCGGCTGCCTTCCTGAGAGGCGCTAAATCCCACCTCGGCGCTGGGGAGGAGCCGACTGGCCGGCTCTACAGCAAGTTAGCCAGGGGCATAAAAAGCTGCTGATTTCAGTTTCAATTTAAGGACAGTACGGAAGGAGGTCTCGGGACAGAGGAGGGTATTACCTCGAGGCCGGACGAAGACCATGAAGGTCTAAGGCGCCGCTTTCTTTGAGGCCTTACACCCACTCGCTGAAAGCGCGCAGGTTTTATTTCCCCGGCTCCTGAATCCCGTAATCTCACCCTGCCGCCTCCCTCTAAAAAGAGACCTCTTCCAGCATACAGAACGTCCGCCGCATCAAATCCAAATCTTGTAAATGGATTGCTATTTGCATATTTTGTGAGTTTTATTCTCTAATGCCCGTAAGTTTTCAGGGCTATCACTTTCCCTAGTCGCCTCCTGGCCTCACCTTCTCACACCTGCGGCCCGGGACAGGTGTATCTTTCCCTTTCCGCCAGGCCTAAAGACACCAAGATGAAACCAAATGCTTACAAGGGGGGTTACAGATAGAAACAGCTGGAGGGGAAGCTAAACAAGTGCGCAGGATGTGGAGCACTGCCGATGCTGTTACTGTGAGGCGTTCACTGCATTAGTCTCCATTTTGTTTCTATTTGTTAATTATCCTTAAACATTTTGAAATCTTTAAAAAATCACAGTGACAAAAATTTTTTTAAAGTCCATGCAACAATCACTTTCAAGCATTCGTCACAGTGAGAGAGGAGTGTGATCCAATTACTAAAATCATCACATATTCCAGCAGCATTCTCAAAAAAAAAAGCAAATTCACCCCATAAGCAGCTGCCCCGGAGGCGTCTGGAAGAGCAGGAGGAGCCTCACCGTGAGGAAAACTGCAGGGAGACTTCCGGTTAGGAGCCTGAGCCTCCGAAGGCCTGCGCACCAGGGGCAGCACAGGTAAGGGCAGGAGCCTCGCCACGCCCTGGGCCGGCTACAACTCACACAGATTCACTGCGCACCGTCAGGTACTGAGACTACAGTGTGCACGAGGAATGCCTCTCAGGAACTCTACATACAGCATTTCTAGTTCGTGTTAACTTAACAGCCACCGTGGGGAAACGCCCAGTACACACAGTACTAGGGTAGTAGACCTATGACTTTATGATTCTTTCGTACTCTCGGATAAGATCATGAGCGTCAAACTAAGTGATGACCAATTAAGAAGTGTGAATTTCCTTAGTATTCACAATTTTAAATGGGCTATATTCAGAATGTGAAATCAGAAATCCATTTGGCCAGAATACGCCACACTTTGTATTGCCAAGGGCACAGAAGAATCGTTTCCCCTTTTCTTCCTCATCTAATTGCAAAGTAAACCCTGCTCTCATTAACAGTAAAGTATGTGTTGGCTCATGACCTGAGACAAATCTGACGCAACACCGTAACGTATGACAGTGACGTCCGGTGTGGCCGGGTGCCGGGTGTACAGAGCTATGCTCCGCGCCCCTTTCCTGCAAAACTAACAAAAAATTTACTTTAGAAAAGAACAGACACAGAAAAAGAGAGGGGCAACAGAGAGAGAGAGAGAGAGAGAGAG